GAGCCTCAAGCTGTCCCCCTGGGTAGAGTGCCGTGGCATCACAGCTCACAGCAACCTCCAACTCCTGGGCTCAAGCAAGTCTCCTGCCTTAGCCTCCCAAATAGCTGGGACCACAGGCGCCTGCCACAGCGGCTATTTTTTGGTTGCAGCCATCATTGTTGTTTGGCAGGCCCGGGATGGATTCAAACCCACCACCTTAGGTGTATGTGGCTGGTGCCTTAGCCACTTGAGCCACAGGTACTGAGCCCACAATTAACTTTTTAATAGTCTTTAGAAGACCAGAAAATCCCTAGTACTGTTTCTTCTTTCAACCCACAGAATGATTTGGTTCAGAAAGGCAGTGCTAGGGGCTTTGAGAAAGGCTTGGCAGCGCCTGTGGCTCAAAGAATTAGGGTGCCGGCCCCATAAGCCAGAAGTGGCGGGTTCAAACCCAGACCGGCCAAAAACTGCAAAAAAAAAAAAAGAGAAAGGCTTTGAACTCAGTTTGACTTCTCTCTCCTGTCTCCAAAGGCTACCCCTTCAATGATGTGTGCCAGTGGTTCATTGACAGAGCTGACCTCATCTTCGTTGTCTTTGACCCGACCAAGCTGGATGTGGGCCTGGAGCTGGAAACACTCTTTCGCCAGCTGAAGGGACGTGAGTCCCAGATAAGAATCATCCTGAACAAGGCGGACAGCTTGGCCATGCAAATGCTCATGAGGGTTTATGGGGCCCTCTTCTGGAGCTTGGCCCCTCTTATCAATGTCACAGAGCCCCCAAGGGTTTATGTCAGCTCCTTCTGGCCACAAGATTACAAGCCAGACACCCACCGAGATCTATTCCTCAAAGAAGAGATCTCCCTCCTCGAAGACCTGAATCAAGTGATTGAGAACAGGATGGAGAACAAGATTGCCTTCATCCGCCAGCATGCCATCCGGGTCCGCATTCACGCCCTCTTGGTTGATCGATATCTGCAGACATATAAGGACAAAATGACCTTCTTCAGTGATGGAGAACTGGTCTTTAAGGACATTGTGGAAGATCCTGATAAATTCTACATCTTCAAGACCATCCTGGCAAAGACCAATGTCAGCAAATTTGACCTTCCCAATAGGGAAGCCTATAAGGACTTCTTTGGCATTAACCCCATTTCTGGTTTCAAACTCCTCTCTCAGCAGTGCTCCTACTTGGGAGGTTGCTTTCTGGAGAAGATTGAGCGGGCCATCACCCAGGAGCTTCCTGGCCTCCTGGGTAGCCTTGGGCTGGGGAAGAATCCAGGTGCTCTCAACTGTGACAAAACAGGGTGTGGCGAAACCCCAAAGAATCGCTACAAGAAGCACTAGGTTGTCGTGTAGCCCGTCTCAGGTTGCCATTGGTGAATGAGCTTGTGTCCTAACTGTCTGAGAAGTCCTGGTGTGTTAACCCTTTGAGCCACACTGACAAGAATTATCACACATTGGAGATTTGGGAATTCATTGAGGCCAGTGGTCGGGGAGGGTGTGTGGGTCTAGGGAGGAGAGTGAAACTGTGAATTATAGCATGTGCTTGTCTTGTTGCTTCAGTGAAGAGGCCTGACTGAGGCAAGTGAGGCTTCACCTGCTTTCCCTGGGTCTTGTCCTGAGGGACAGAGAGCAGCTAAATCCTAGTGTGTACTAGATCAATGAGGGTCAAATAAGCCAAATGCAGCTGAAATTCCTTTTCTCCTATAAGCTGGGAAAATAGTGAAGACCTGAGTTTTAGAGGGCCTCTCAGATCCTCTTGGCTTCCTTTCATTGACAGTCTTCTGTTTGTCCCCAAACGTTCTAAGTTTGGGTTGACGTTCAACAGTGGACAACAGTCTCTCAGGTCTGAATCTGCCTGGGTGTTAAGCCTATCCTCAGGACGTCTTTCCTCCTTCCTCAGGGGTCAGGGCAGTAGTTCAGGATGCCAGACAACAGAGAGAGAACAAGCCTTCCCAGATTACATTAAGGATCTGCCTGCACCCCCAGTGCCATTTCTCTGATGTTATCCTCTAAACTAGATAGATAACTTGGCCCGTTTATTGGCTCCAAGAGGAAGGTGAGTGGTTAGTGTATACAGGTAACTTACCTCTTGGTTGTGTCTTAAGTGAAGGTCCCGGAAGGGCTCGGAGGGTTAACTGGTTTGCAGTGTGTCTTTGTCTATTGCATGTCTTGGAAAACTCAGATCCCACAGGTGTTGAGTTTCAGAGAGGGTGATGGAGACCTTGCTCCTTTTTGTTAGAGACTTCACCAGGCAGCCATCCTCTACCAAATTTAAGGTGGGACTGTTCCACAACTTCTCTGTGGAAGCACTTGGCAGAGGAGTTGTTCCTTCCTGGTTTCCATTGCCACGGCTTTTCCTTTCTTTTCTTCTCCATTCCCTAATGCGTCAACACTTAAAACTCAGAGAAATTTCCTACCAGTTAGAACCAGCACCAGCTGCTTGGGTCAGTGGTAACTGAGGCTCAACGTGTAGCTTCCCTGATGAACTGGATGCAGATACCCAGGAATGCACCATGGGAAAGCCAAGGCCTTTGAATACCAAAGAGTGTGAATATGTGTATATGTTGGAGGGAGATTAGGGAGAGAAGGTGTACTCCAGGGCATAGAAAAAGAACTTGTGAGAGTCTGGCACAGCTAGCAGCACTGCCACCTCAGAGGGTGATGGAGGGCTGGAGCCTGGGGAAGGAGCAGTCTTTTGTGAAACGTGCATAGTAAACAGTGCTTATGTGTCCAGGAGAGTAGCCCAAGGCTCCTCACCAGGGCCTTTCATCACAACCAGCTCCTTCTCTTGGGAACAAGCTGTCTTGGGGGCCCCAACCACAGGCATAAGCCAGGATCCACCAGCACCAGGAAATCATCCCCAACTAGAAGGAAAGTGGAAACAGAGACAGAGTGAGAGGCCCTCTGAGGAGGAGGCAGTGTTAGCAAATTGGCAGTCAGGCGAGGTCCACATGGAGAACTGCAGTTTAGGAATTCCTGTTTCTCAGAATTATTAGCACTCAGGTACGTGCTGCCAGAGAGGCTGCTGCTTTTGGCTTTGTGGAAGGCCTGGAATCTCCCATAGGAAAACCTGAGGCTCCAAAGTATCTGGGATACTGTTTCTAAGCAGCAAGTTAACCAGAAAAGAAAAGTTAGTTTCTTGAGGGGCATCTAAGGAGTCTGGTGATTCAGGGCTAATGAGCTAGAATGTGTCCTGGACTTTACTTCTTTTTTTTTTTTT